CCAGTGTGACAGTTATCACGATGATAATGGTTAATGATGAGCTCGACTACGTGACCCTTACGAGGCAAAAGTACAGGGTGTCTTTGCTCATAGGATAGGTCAGCGTTACGCAGTCGGCCGCCAACGCGGATAAGTCCGTTGTCGTCCAGAAAAGGAGCGAGACGCATTATAGCGGGTGAACAAGGTTTGTTACTCTTCAGAGCATTTAGTTCATTTTGAAAGTAAAACGACTGAACTGCCTTTAGAATTTCAGTTTCAGCCTTTAGCATGTCAGAGGCAGAAATTGTGGTATAAAATAACCTAAAGAGTTACTGCTATTTAACGGAGAGATGTAACCGTTATCTACATAATCGCGGATTATATTGTTGTATTCCTGGCGCAACTCGATACTAGCATCAAGTTTCCGCTCTAGGGAGAAAAAACGTTTTTTAGCGTTAAGATACGAATCGCCTAGCATGGAGGGATCATCCTTAAAAGGTAATGCGACCGAATAACGGCCCGAGACGTCGCGGGAGGTATTATCAGTAAAATTATTTTCGCATTCGCGGTCAGCAGGACTCAAGATAGGCAGGCACGTGGAGACTTCCTCGAGCTGCCAGAAAGTTTGTAATATGTGATTTAAAGGCGCATCATTTTGCACCATAGCGGTGAGAGAAAGAGAATTATCACCTGCGATATTCTCTATGTATGTGTTACCTAATAACATGTAACCAAAAATGGTATTAAATGCGGTAGGGGTTCCGGTTGGACCAACAATACGTCCTTCCAAGAAAATATCGGCAAAAAGCGAGGCACCTATAAGCAGGTCTATTTCACCAGGCGAATAAAAACTATCGTCGGCGAGCGGTTTATTATTTAAATAAGAAAAGGAAGATCTGTCGATTTCCACAGTGGGCAAATTATCGGCAATGCGGTCAATAACACATAAGTCTAGCGGCATCGATATGTTATTGTTAAAACGAGAATATATAGTTAAATTCGTGGCACCCTTAATTGGGTTAGGAGTGGATCCGATTCCCTTAACTACAGTATACGACGCTTTATTTATGTAAAGGTTTAATTTTTCGCAACATTTTAATGTAATAAAATTACTTTGGGAGCCAGGATCTATCATGGCGCGTAAAGAATGCATATTGCCATTTGAATCAGCGGCCAACACCTTCACAGTGCCAAGTAAACAAGTTGTGTCGAGTTTAGGTTTGGGCGGCAGGTTATTGGTATTGCACAACGCGATGTTTTGTGAGACCGCGCTGTCTAAGCAACTCGACGTGCGAGGCTCGGCAGATGCCTGTGGAATGCACTCGCGCGCAGTCGCCTGCACGGCTCGCACGCCGTTATCAGTCTCGATGACGTCACGGCGCGTCGAGCCCGCGGCCGGGCGCTGACGGCACAGCAAAGTATGATGCTTCGTAGAACAGTTTCTACAGCGATGAATTGAGTTACAATTTGTAGATGTATGCGATGAACTTAGACAATTTGTACAACCATGATTAGTTTTAATGAAGTTATAGCGATCGTCAATTGAAAGGTTTTTAAACGAAGGGCAAAAGTATATTTTATTGTGCGATTTTTGTTTACAATAGGCGCAGTGGCCATAACTAGTTTGATTTGCGTGCGTGACTGATAAGGAATGAGTAGGCTTGCTACTGCGGGACGGAAAGTTATTATTCTGTTTAGAAGTAGATGGAACGGAGGTGATCGTAGTGCGATCTAATATCTTGCGTTGTTCGCGTATATAATTAACGAGAGAATCGTATGTAGGGAATGGCGTATTACGATTTATCATTTCAAATTGACGAATAGTGTCTAGATCAAGTTTTTTACTAGCGAGATAAAACAACAGAAAGTCCGAAAGGTTGTCAAGATTTAAAGACTGAAGACTAGAAACAGCCCCACAGAATTTATCTAAAAATGTATCGTAATGTTTTGTAGTTGCGGAACTAAAAGATCGGAAATTCAGCATTTCATCTAAGTAAGCGGATGCGAGATTGCGTTTATTTTCGTACCTATCCACTAGGGTCTGCCACATTAACGCGTAGTTGTTGGCGTTCGGTGCGATTCCAGCACAAACGCAACGTGCCTGGCCAGACAACTTACTGATCAGGTATTGCACGCGTTCGTGATCTGTTAAGGCGGGATTATTGTGAATAGTGTTTTTAAACGATTCATAAAAAATGGGCCAACTCGCAAGTTCCCCAGAAAAACCAATTAATTCAAGTGTCGGAAGCTTTATGACGGATTTTGCTTGAAAATAAGTTTTATTTTCCGATTTAATTGAGTCAGTAGGAGATGACAACTTTGTGGAAATACGTTTACAATGACAATAAAGTTCGTCAAATGCATTAAGACTCTGATAATTGGGGTCAGAATCGGGATTGAGCTGAAGTTCTTTGTCTACAATTAGTTCAGTGATTGCATGAAATTCAGTTCGTAAAATCTCTAATGATTCCATGTTCACAAGAAACGATTCCTTAGCAGATTCATCAGAAAAGACAAGTTTAGAATCATAGAAAATATTTTGTAATCGGGAAAATATATTATTCCGCTTAGCGTTAAGTTTTTTCAATTCGACATCCATGTTGTCAACTTTCTGAGAAGCACTTGTACCACTTTTAGGCATAATGTTTTGTTAAAAATTAAATAAGTGTGCAAAGTCCGATTCTATTGAGTGACTGCGACACAATGCAACGAACAATGAAAGCAAGAACGATCACGCGCTATGCGAGCGGTACGGGCGTGAACGAATGTTTGCAAGTTACCTCCGTTTATTAATAAAATTATAATATGGTAGGAAAAACAAGTTATCTGGATTACAGCTTTAGAATGCGTTACCGAATGTATGAAAGTTATTATTATGTAGGAAATTAGTAAGAACAGCGTACAAATAGCGTATTTACGGGAATATAAATGTATTAAGCGGGAAATATCGGCAAATAGGTGAATAACTTACAGCCTATTTGTCCGTTATAATTTATGATTATAATGAGTATGTGGCGTAAAGACGCGCAGAATGTATGAAATTGGAGAACGAAATATTGCAAAAATTGTGATGATTTTGAAAATTACTAGAACGTACGGCTCAAAGACCATATAATTGTACGTCCGGCTCGAAGACCATAAAATTGTGTACGAGCGATAAATCCGAAGATTCGTAAATTCTACTCACACAGCGGTTGCGGGGTAATATTCACCATAGGTCGTGGTATTTTTATACTTCAGAAAAGAGATCAAAGAAAGGGAAGATTGCTGCTTTCTACTACTACGAACAGACAGCGCACTCACCCGTTCTGCAATCCACCAGCACCAGCAGTTTCAGGGGGGGTGAACCGCGGTTCCCAATCTCTTGTCTGCCCTCGAAGATGGAAGATGATGAAGGACCAGCCCTGACTCCGTAGATCAAGGCAGCGGGTGCATATAACGCGCACTTCACAAACACGCAATATTTCAGTTCTCAGCGTCGGCTGAACAGTTCCAGCTTATAGTACAGTACAGCGGTGTGGACTTCAACGATAGAAGGTTCCAGCAAAAAGAGGCGGTAACTCCGATGCGGCGCGACGGCGTCCGGAGTGAGCCACGTCAATTCGTAGACTAGTGTAGAAAGCAGCGAATAATAGCGGGGTAAAATTATTGGACAGAAGCGGGTAGGTAGGAAAAAAGAAAAAATATGAATGCCCACATTGGGCATGAACAGATTTTCTTCTGACATAATCATGGTGCCCCAACAATATTGGTGTTATTTGAAAGCCCAATAAATAAACTTAAAGAAAAACACATTTTATTTTTTTATAAACAATTAACAGGTATAAATGTCACATGAAAAAAGGCCTTACTTGGGGCTCACCTCTGGGATCAATTAGACCAATTTTTGTGGTTATAGAACCAACTAATGATCTTACGTGTCTTTTTTAACAGATGGATAGCGATTAATCCCAACTTAACAGTTTTATAGCCATAAAAGTTGGCTCAAGCGTAACTACCAATTTTTTGAAGAAGTGACTCTGGATCCTTCTAAAAACACATTTTTGAGATAAAAACCTTTCCTTTAATGAAATGAAGGTTAAAACTAGGCTTTCAAATGCAACCAATGTTGGTGGGAAGTGGGGATGCATACGTTTTAGAAGTGCTTGTTGCGGGAGGTGTGATTTATTTGATGCCGAGTGTATTTGCATGTCATAGGCTATGACTAAATAGGTCTTATGTAACATTATATCAAATAAGAACTGCTCTGTAACCAGCTATTTAAGGCAAATAAATGATTATTTATTTCTGCTGCAAAAAACCTTAGATTATTTTCGTTTCTCACCGGAAGACTTCTAGCGGCGCGAGAATGGAGATCATGGTCTCTGCGCCGACGAGCTTATTCTCGGTTAGCACGAACGACGCCGTCCAGATGAAGCGCAGCACGAAGTCTTCTACTATCGCGAAGTAGTAGAACTGGAAGGAGAATGAGGGCATTCAGTCAGGAAGAGTTAAATAAATATTATATTCAGTCAGTTCACATATTTGTCCCTTAGACGTTCACGGGAAGAGTAGAGGTGGTTGCGCGTGCAAAAGTTGTCTACACCAATGTGCAGCGGTACACCGTTTGCGAAATCCTGGAATACACTGACGCGTTCGCGTTCGAGACATTCAGCATGAAAACTTTTCGCAATTTTAGACTGTAAACCCTTTGTTGGCAAATAAATACTTTACTTTACTTTTAAAAATACAAACGTCAAAATACCAAGCACGATCGCATCGCCGCCGCCGCGTGCGGACTCTACACCGCACATCGCGGCCAATCAGAGGACGTATCGATGTAAATACGTTGCTACAAGTTCGTACATGACATCTGATTGTGACTGTGCACGTCATCGCGAACGCAGGCTGAACGCCTTGATTTGGCTGAAACTTAAAGGACCTAATTTCAAGGCTGGCAAAACCCAGGCACGCGGGCATTTGAATTTGCCCGCCAGCAAGTTAGCCGGCGCGCGGTGGTATAAATGGCCTTGTGAATTTAATATGGTTTTGCTTTTGATTTGATTTTGATTTTCAAAGGTTTTTGGCCGGGCGTCGCCACAGTCTAAGAAATTTTGCTCATCTGGAAAAACTATAGGCCTGGGCTTGAGCTAATATGACTCACCCCAGGGCTGTAGACTATTTCCTCGCGTAGAAACTTGTTCTCAGCGTTAGGTCCGCAACTGAACAGTCCCCAATCCATCTTCACGTCCCACGTGTAGGTATACAGCGAGGATACCAGTTGGCACGCGAACCACGCGTATAGGAACGGGTTGTCGTACGGGTCGGTGTATTGATCTGAAAATGCATTAAATATACATATAAAACTCATTAAAATTGATAAAATTGAATTTTTTTTAGGTATTTTAATTTTAACCCTACTACTGCTTCAGGACAATAAATGGGCCAGTGTTGAGAAGAAGAATCTCTAGCTCTAGAATCTTAGTAAGTATTTTCAGCATCTTTTTTGGGTTTACAAAGTTTTACTCGTACTTTAATGTAACATTTAAATTCTTTTTATTAAGATATCTAGTATTTATTAAGATATTTTTTCTATTAACTAAAAATGAAATTAAGTGCCATAAAAAACATTTAGGTGGTTGAGTCTAGCCTAGGTCTGAAGCCCACGAGTCATATTGTAGACTGCAGCGGCCAACTTCTAGGTAGAGTCATTTAAAGGACTTTTAAATGGACCATGGCTGTTGTTTATAAATAGCATGATCACCACCATCATTTCAGCCGCAGGACGTTCAATACGGAACATAGGCCTCCTCCAATGATTACCAGATCCACCTTTGCTTGCTGTCCACAAGATTTACAAACCAACCTTTGCTGTGAAGATAAAAAAGAGTCCTTACCGCTATAAATGCCCCGTAGCGTCACAAACAGCACCACGAAGAAAGTAGCGGGGTACTTTCCAGATGCGAGAACGCCTCCCTACTGTCCCGGTACCGCCCGGACTATGTTGTTGACTCACATCATTATGTATCAGCGCTGTATCGAAGGCAAGTGGGGAATATTCCCACTTCCCATCAACCACTCACCGCTATAAATGCCCCATAACTATATACCATTGCTGTCAATAGTTCGTCACATCCAAAGTGGCTAAAAAGTTAACAAAGCACACTCTTATTCCAATTGCAACAAAAGCATGTGTTGCAAACGTTTTAGCTACTTTGAGAGTCACGAACTGCTTATTTGATGCTTACAGTGCCAGTGCTGCGTCTCTAAGGCACCTGGGGAATATAGTTCCCACCAATCACTTACCGCCACAAATGCCCCGAAGCGTCGCCATAAGCAAGTCACTATGTACAACCCGGTCGAGTTAGCTGCACTACCAGCGCTGTAAAGAATCCATCTGGGGAATATACTTCCCACTTCCCACTTACCACTATAAATGCCCCGTAGCGTCGCGAACAGCACCACGAAGAAAGTAGTGGAGTACTTCCCCGCGTTGACCAGATGCGGGAACGCCTCGCGACTGTCCCGGTACCGCCGCAGGCACTGCCAGAAGCGCGTCCAGGCCGGGACTATGTTGACGACCGCTCGCGTCACTATGTACCAGCGCTGTGTTTCGAAGGCATCTGGGTAAGAGAGTAAGAAACGACGGTTTAAACTAAGCCCGGTCCGTGAGCACGTAGAATTTTGTCCAATGACCCCTAGCTACCCATCCTTATCGCTCGCGCGTAATTATATTGCTGTCGCGACTGTGCGACTGGCACCCGCAGTGAGTGTGCGAGCGCGATAGCAACATAATTACGCGCGAGCAACAAGGATGGGTAGCTTGGGGTCATTGGACAAAATTCTACGTGCTCACGGACCAGACAGATTCAAACTAAAACCCTTCGTTCATTCAGTCGTTTTAGCCAAAGGACGCCCACTGGTGTATAGATCGTGCCATCCTCGAAGACGCACCCCACCTTTTTGGTCGGGGAGTTTGACCCGTGCAATCCGAGCGTCACTATAGTAGTGTGCGTGCGTGTGCTCATGGATAATTTAACGTGTACCGATAACACTCAAGCCGTGTGGTGACGGCAGAGTAGAATACATTTGTCGCCAACCCCTACTCTTCCCGCGGGTGTCGTAAGAGGCGACTTAGGGACTACACAACAAACAGAGAACGGGCAGCAGCGCTCTCTGACAAACATCAATCTTTAACTGCGATCTCCAACCCGCCTGCCAAGCGTGGGGATTATGGCAAAACCCTCCACTGTAGTGGAGGAGGCTCATATTCCAGCAGTGGACTGTAGAGGGCTGTTGATGATGATAATAACACTCAAACATAAGCGGAAGAATGGTGGGGCGCGTCTTCGTGGATGAAACGATCTATACAAAGGTTGTAGAGGCCATGGATTTCCACAACGATCGATCTTGTTCTGCCCGAACTAGACTTGTAATGTAGTAGACAAGGGCAATACAGGGATTCAAATTATAGCCTAAGATAAACTTATTAGGATTTTAAGATTAAGATGCATCTAAAACATTTCATCGAAATGTTTAATATGATGTGGGCCAACGTTGTTAAAAAAATCATTGAGAACCCTAAGCTGTTTAAAACATTGAAATTCAAACGTTGCACTTTATAGCGTCTTGTAAATGGACCAGTTAGGTATGATTCGAATAGGGGATGTGATAACAAAGTTAATTGTCATATTTTTCCATTTATGTAAATATCCACGTTTAACGTCACTTATACGGTTAATAAACGAAAACGGTCCAGCTGTTCATACAATCTAAATTTGTCTTCTACGAGTTCAAAGAATTATTATTTGTGAATTGAGTAATGAATACCCTATAAATGGATTCATCTATCTGCTTACATCCTTGGTTGATCACCTATCTTTCATCATCATCATCATTATCATCATTACGTTACAAATGTCATACTTCTTCGTTCTCCCCATCATTTACCTATTAAATAGCAAATTGGCTACGAAAAACATTATGGTTCTAAAAGCCAAGTCATTACAAATGACATCCTGCAGTAATGAAAGTGAAATGTTGATTTAAATAAATAAATAAAAAGAAGAAGAAATAACTTTCAGATTGCCCGCAGACTACAGACTTTTTGTTGGCCGACAGTTGGGCCCGATTCTAATTTGTATGAAGAATCGGCCGATACCAAATTGGTGTAATGTGCGCACTTCCATACATGTCCATACTGATCAACAGCCTCCGACCCAACTATCGGCCAACTAGAAGTCGGTGGTCTGCGCCTAAGATAAAAAGAGAAGACCAACCAAGCGAACAAACTGTAGACCGCGGGGAGTTTAGATTTTTTTGCGTGCGTTTCCTTCTTCTTTTTAATCAAATCAAATCAATAACAACTCACTGTTAACGCTGAACCAGTCGCCGCCTGCCACGTAGAAGGCGATGAGGTAGTGGAAGTCCAGGAATGCATTCGCGAAGGAGTTCCACTGGTCCGCCAGCCAGAAGTCAGCGAACAGCACTGGCACGAATGGCGCCGCGAGAATCCGCCCCTGATCAAACAATTTATACAGTGTGTTATTTTTTATACGTGATCAAACAAAAGACTTATTCTACTGCTACTTTTTCCAAAAGACTAAAGTTCTAATATTTAAAAAAAGTCACTTCGTACTGGGGTGCCAATTATTTTTGAGAATTTCCTTAGATTGTTTAATACTGGACCTGTAGGAAAGTTGTTGCATTTGAGCAGCAGAACAGTGGACGTCCATTGGTTGAAATGCACTAATAATGGTGGATTACGTGTAGGAAAATCATAATATCTATTAGAAGTGATGTCTTTAGCTACATAGTTACGATAATTTGTGAAAACCATTATACGTCCTTAACCCAAATAAATAGTCGTTACGGTTAATTATCATATCAATCACATATCTATTTTAATCTATCCCAACATGCAGCTACACAATGCGGGTCGTACAGATTCGTTGCAAAATCGCCACTATTACAACCACATAAGAAACCGCACTTAATGCACTTCTATTCTAAATAAATAAATACCAAAGTATACTCACACATATCCTCAAGAACCAGAACCGCGCTTCATGTCGAAACACCTTCAGAGGGTTCATAAGAAAGGCCAGCATTATTACTACTAGCGCTAGTGGGTTCACAAAGGGAGGTATACTGAGACTCGCGCTATAAATAAAGCTGAGTATACTCAGTGCCCAGACCACCCCTAGTATCGCTGCAAGCTCCATTAAATCTTGCTCAGACAAATGATTTCTGGGGTCCAACTCGAAGATTAATACATGGTTGACCCCTGAAGACCGCCAGCCGTAGACGTTTATGCCAATTAGGAATATGAATTCTACTAGAAGGAACGGCCCTCGGTACAATCGGAAAGCTGTCTTGAAGTTGTCTGTGGCACCTTCGTGGAATAACGCTGGAAGAGAAAAAAGGTTTGTTTAGTAAAATAATAGTGTAAACTAGCTGCCGCCCGCGACTTCGTACGCGTGGAACCCGTTTTACCACCGGTTTAGATTTTTTCATACAAATGTTTTTTCCCGCTAACTCCCGTTCCCGTTGGAATTTCGCAATATCCTGTTGTAACTAAGTTTTAAGTTTACTAAGGTACCTGCATGCCAAATTTCAAGCGTCTATCTTAAGTGGCTTAGATTTTTTCATACAAATGTTTTTTCCCGCTAACTCCCGTTTCCGTAGGAATTTTGCAATATCCTGTTATAACTAAGCTTTAAGTTTAATAAGGTACCTGCTTGCTAAATTTCAAGCGTCTAACTTAAGCGGTTTAGATTTTTCATACAAAAGGATTTTCCCTCTTGTTCCCGTTTCCGTGAGAATTTCGGGAATTCCTTGTTGTAACTAAGCTCTAAGTTTAATAAGGTACCTACATGCCAAATTTCAAGCGTCTAACTTAAGCGGTTTAGATTTTTCATACAAAAGGATTTTCCCGCTAATGCCCGTTCCCGTGGGAATTTTTGCTTTTTGTGCGCAAGTTTTGTAAGAAATTGCAACAAAATATTGCGCTATTTTTTTATTGCGCTGATTCTGCTCCATATTGATGTCTGGAGCCTTTCATGGATGGTATTGTTTGTTTACACATACAATCTCACTATTTTGTTGCAATTTCTTACAAAACTTTGCGCGCAAAAAGCAAATCTAGTATGAAAATCATCAAACTTCTAATGCTTGTAACTCAGTTCAGACTGAGTTTAGAGGTATACATGTCATAGTAAGTTTGGTTTATTACACTATTTTGTAATCAAAAAACAAAGTTTGGTCGATGGCCGCGCGAAAAAAAAAAGACGCCAATTTCCGGCATTGTCTTTTGATATCATCATTTGAATTTTTTAAATTTTCATACAAAATAAATTTTATAAAATCCGATTTGTATGAAAATAAAAATAGTTAAAATGAAGATATCAACTTTCTGACTTCACCATACCATTTATATGCTCATGTTAACATGGGCTAGTGTCGGCTCATATACCCATTTACCTAACACCCAGTAGAAGAGCTATTAAAAGGTAGGAGGTAATGCAAACATTTTTGGAATGTTACTTATAAAGTATTATAACTCCTGCGAGATTATACGAGTTTTTGGTAAAGCGGCTTTTCGATGATCACCTCTCAGATAATTAGTTTTAAGATTTCTTCTTCGATTGACATTAAAATAAACCTAGTTACCCTATTGAGCTACACAATAACCCTTTGTGTATGTTTCATTTTAAGATCCAATTAATTACTAGCTAGAAATAAATACCACTTTTCCCATGTCATTTATCAAAAGTTGATGACAGCAAAATTATGTGACTTCTTAATAATAGTAAGTATTCATTCATAGATGAATTTACGCTAGTCATGACTTCAAGATTTATGTTCTATTGTACGAGATACTGTAAAAATCTGAGTGTTGCAGTGAAATAAACAAGTTCATCATCACATAATCATGGTATAATCACAGAATAATAATAAGTACTACCTACAGAAGTTTTACTTTGCGAAGGTATTTAAAAAAATGTATGCTCAATGTTATTAACAATATGGTGTAATTTAGCCTGTCTCAAGAGTCAAGCACCATTTTGTTGACAAACGTCAGTGATCGGCACTGCGCCGAAGCTATAGGGCTGACTTCGGTAAAATGATGTGACGTGAAATGCCAAACTGCGGAAAATGGCGGAGGAAATACTTGATTTATCATGAACTAGCTTTCCGCCCGCGGATTCGCCCGCGTGGAATTTTGTCTGTCACAGAAAAACTTTATCGCGCGCGTCCCTGTTTCAAAAACCGGGATAAAAACTATCCTATGTTCTTTCCCGGGACTCAAACTATCTCTATGCCAAATTTCATCAAAATCGGTTGCGAGGTTTAAGCGGGAAAGCGTAACAGACAGACAGACAGACAGACAGACAGACAGACAGACAGACAGACAGACAGAGTTACTTTCGCATTTATAATATTAGTTGGGATTATCATGAATAATATTAACTACTTATTTACCTCTCAGTGTCTTGAGGCAACTTAAAAAGTAGATTCTGTGTCTTTATTATTATTTAGGCAGTTAAATACTGCACAGTATTTAGTACACCATTTTCTTTATTTTCTTCCATCATACACAAGAATACGCGTGCGTGAGTCAATGTTCGCTCGTATGTGAGGCCTTGTCGAATAGTATCCTGTAGGTGGGCCATCGTGCGTGTTTTGTTTTCGATGTAAACTCGCAGAGATGAACAGGCCTGGTATAATCAAGTCTGTATGCTACTTTAGTTTCTTCAAAACCCGTCACGTCTTGAGGAGTAGGCCAAATCCTCCATTTGCCTCTGGTAAATATAGGTCATTCTCCTGCAATGGAGACTAATGCCCGTTTTCACCATCAATCCCTAATTTTTAAGTGACCCCTATGGTAACACATAACAGGAATTTTGTTTACATAGGGGTCACTTAAAAATTAGGGATTAATCAATTAAATGACCATAAATATAGGAAATATAGAGGGTCATTCTTTTAATGGAGATTAAATGACCATAAATATACGTTCTTATCTAAGTTCTTAAGGGTCTTAAGATTTTATCTCTAAGTTTCCCAAAATTTTCCCATGGTCAAAATAATCCCATTATCTCGGTCATTCGGAAACCAAACTTAAATTATACTTGATTTGCAGTAAGTACACATTGACACAGCGATTACTGGATTATCCGCGGTACGCAATCTGATAATGTTTTACGGTCCACCGTTTGTTGTAGGATTTGTGAAATAAACATTTCGTGCTAATATTGCTATAGTTGGACCTTGGCTAAGATAATATTAATACTGTATCTTCGTAAACTAAAAAAGCTGTAGTAATAATTCGTTACCTAATTTTAGTAAGTTAGTACAATGTAATAATATATCTATATGCACGTTATTCCTGCTGATTTCTTTTACAGCCTGTATGCATAGATTCGACCTTAGCATCAGGGAAAAAATGGGATTATTCCCATCTCTCGTTCCCACCGCTGCAACTCCTGTGTAGCCAGGATCTGCAGCTTGATCGCCAATAAAAACACTACCAGTGAAGGTCAAGTTTGTCCCGGGGGCAACTTAAACTGTCATATGACCCGCAACGATATTAATCAGAAGAATATAGGAGGAGTTTGAGCAGCAGTGGACGTCCTGTGGCTGGAATAATGATGAGGAATTGGGCAAAAACTTCTCTCATAAGACCGCTTTCACATTAGGGCGTCAGAAGCGCAGCGTGGCAGCGGCGTAAAGGCATCTGCTATCATGTATGAAATTGTAATCGCATACCTAAATGTGAAAGCGCTCTTAGGCACTTCACAGCCATTACCGCCACTAAATCCACTCACCTGACAGCACAACAGTGATAAACAGCACAATAAACGAGCCCGAAAACAGGCCCACTTTGAACGTCGTCCACGGGCTCTGCTGTTCTCCCAGCGGTGGGACCCTGAGTTTCTTCATAGCCTTCTGTCGGTCTCCTCCCTCTAAGTCGTTGGTGACTGCCGCCTCTGTGTCGCTGATGAGCCGGTCGATGTCTTTGTTGGTGTAGAAGTGGGAAGTCTCCACGTGGACAGCTCGCCATTGCGCCCCGTTGCTTACGTTTAGCAGCTGGGAAGAGTGAGCTAGTTAGTTTGACTGATATTACTGGCTACGATTAAATAAAACGAACGATCAAGTTCCAATTTCTCATTGTTTTGGACCACAGGGCAAGGGAATATGATAAAAAATATGGTGAGAAATATATTCCCACTAGTGACCGACCGAATATTCGTTTTCGTTTTCGTTTTCGGCCATTTTCGGCCAAAAAATGGACATTCGGCCATATTTTCGTTTTCGGCCAAAAACCAGCCGAAGCTTCGGCCAAACCGAATATCAGAAATACGTGAATAAGATGATGACGTATAACGTTTGGATATCTTCGGAGTGAATGGGGTGCACTCATGGGGAATCTTTTAAGTTCAAAATTGAATAAAAAGCCAAAGAGTTTTCATTAAGTTTAATTGATTCAAAATAGAGACTAATAATGCGGATTTGAAATACATGCATCCCGGCTACAACTGCAAAACTCTTTCAGCAAGAAGGTGTCTCATCACTACACACGGATAGGACCTCGATGGAGACATTGAGGATTTTTTTTTCAAATAAATGATCAGCCAGTACAGGGCTACAGGCACATACCCTAGCCGCCTCGGTCACCAATTCTCACACCATGCGACTTTCTCTTGTGGGGATATCTCAAGTCAAAAGTTTACAGCAACAATCTTCAAATAATTCCGGTTCTGTAAGAAAATATCCGCCGTGCAGTTGCAGAAAAATCACCAGCGCGCTTTGCTCTCGAGTAGTTGCGAATGTAAGGGTCCGGCTGTAAGAGTGCCTCAAGTGAAACGTGCGTCATTTAAACGACATTGCCTATGAAAAATAAAATCTGCATTGTTAAACTCCAGATTGCATTACTAATAAATAATAAAAAATCATTAGTTTTATTTGTATTCATTTTTGAAGTTGAAATATTCCCACTGGTCCATTCCATTAAGAATAAAATTCATAATAATATCTTCAATTTTTCTTTCCTTATCCAAATCCGTCCGTCAACTGTAAAACAATATTATGTTTTTGGTCAAAATATTTACGGTTTTCGAAGTGTTTACATTTCTCATATTGTTTAGAAGACTACTTAAACAATTTGAAATTAAAAGCGTCGAAAATTATGGATATTTCATCGGAAATAGATTGAAATTTGACAGTTGAAGGTCATTTTCGTTTTCGTTTTCGGCCGAAAATGGGACTGCAGCCGAAGCTTCGTTTTCGTTTTCGTTTTCGGCTGAAAATCCATATTCGGTCGGACACTAATTCCCACTGCTTTAACTGCTCCCTGCGATAGTGAAGCGTCGCTGGAGGGTGTTTGTGTTACGTCAAACATCAGCAAGACTGATATTGAGAGAAGACTGAGATGTGCTTCAGTCAAGTAAACCATGTCAACTTTTTTACGATACCTTATACTTCTCACAGTGATCCATACGCTACAGGATTACTAATGTTTGGCCAAAAAACGTTTCCCAAATTATCACATCGCAAACAACGTTTCGCAAATTTTCATTTGGCAAATTCTCATTTGGCAAAACAACTTATTGCAAACTTTTAATTCGCAAATGTCGTTTTTGGCATATTATTGTTTAGCAAATTATTGTTTGGCAAAGTATGTTTTGCCAAATGAAACATTTGGCAAAAATATTTCACGATAAACTATTTACAAAACAATTTGATTGGTGCATAGAATGAAATACAAATTAGCTTGTGGTTATTATTTTGTTTAGTGGGTAGTTAATATAAATTTTTTTCTAAATAAATTTTCATATTTCATTCTTTTTATCGAAATTTCCAAATGATTCATTAACAATAGAGATGATTCTAGCGCTCGGCGGCCGCTGCCGCGGCACGCTTCGCTCGCCTTCGCGCATTAACACCTTTGCTGCGGCAGTAACTTTCTAATACTTTCCATTCCTTCGGTACAAGGTCAGAAAACCTGGTATTAAAACTTACGTTGTGGCGGCACAAGGCTTAAAGACCTTGTAACATTTAAGATATATTAATTTTATTTTTGGCTTCATGTTCATAGATATTGTGTTTTTTTTCTTTGAATATTAATAATAATGCATTTATTGACATACACCTGAAGGCGTTCGTGAATAACTTGTTTAGTATAAAAATTATAGCTATATTCAAAATACAAGGCNAATGTCAACTGTAAAATAACACAAGTAATTAATCAACATACTGTGAAAACCGTAGTTATCATAATTCTGCGTAGAGAAGTGAGCTGGAAAACTGAAACAACGCCTGTATTCACTAACGTTTGAGGTCTCACAGTGCGCGTGGACGCACAGGGGGACACACGAAACAATCACAGAGCTTTATTCAACGCTGCCTGTGCGTTCGATTTGTTGCTTCACTTAAGCAAGCAGCGTTTGTGAATAAGGGCGTTAGTAACTTTTACAAGTAAATGTGTAAATCTTTGCACGTTTTATTTTGTGAAGGTCACATTTTGATCACTATAGTAGTGAAAATTGACTCCAGAAGCCCAATTTACGTATAGTACGTACCTAATTAAAATATTGCTTGACTAAACTGAAATTGAAATGCGAATTGTTTTAAATGATTATTCTAATTTCTTGTTACTACTTAGTTAAAAACTCGCAATACGAATCTGTGATCACGTTTGCGAACCAGTGATATTTAATTTATTATTATTAAGGTCAATACTTACAAAACAAAGGTGAAAGTATTTGTCTCAAACTCAGAAT